AAAGCTAGTATTATATTCATCATGATTAAGATCATGATAATAATATTTAATAAAGTATTAATTGATTCAGAAATGATTTTATTTTCTTCGATTCTTCAAAATGTAAAACGATCGTTGCAATCTTTTAAAAAAATCAAATAACACAATATTCTAAAAATACACATTGTTCATCGTGACCAAATTTCCACTGATGATAAATGAAAAAATAAATAAAATTATAAAAACTAATCAGGCAAATGCAATTACACCAGAAATCTTTATAGATTTTATTTTGAATGCTCTTCTGGAAGACTATAACTGATTACTTATTTGAACAAAAAGTTTTATAATTCTGAATCCAGATCACAACAAAAAAATTATTGAAGAAAACATGATTAATCCAAATTGTAACAAATTGATCGATAATAAAAATGGAATATTCCAAATACTAGAAAAATCGTAATAATAATACTTTATCAGTTATGACTGTAATAAATACAGTATTACGTTTATTGAGTTTATTTGAAATAATAAAATGATTAATTTATTGCTTATCGTTATTATTTTTTTAGTCTGTAAATTTTTTGTTTGTTCAAGTTAAATTACTTTTTGGTGCTCGACATATTTATCATGTGATGGTCGAAACTTTTTTGGGTGGTGATTTTACTCGGTCCACAACTAGTCCGATTCATAGTTAGCATTGGCAGAAATTAGGATAAAAAAAAACAATTTAGGTTTTCAGCTATATTTTGTTAAACAGCACTCAGAATCAAATTATATTATATAGTACCATTTGAATTGTCTCATTGAGTTGATGATTCAAATTATATAAAAATCGCATGCTTCTAATTACTGAACTACAAAATAAATGAAGGTCAAATATTATGGTTCACATATTATTCACATGTTTAATTTTTCTTTTCATTATACTATGTACTTCTTTATTTGGAGGGAGGGTGCAGTAATACAATACGAAAAATACATAATGCACCATAATAGCCTCAACCTAATAAAACATAGCAGTTTAAATTTCGAAGTATTTTTTTAATCGATTTTTTTTTATCAAATCGAATGTTATTTTATTTCACTAAATTTGTAAATAAATAAGCTTTTTTAAAAAATTTTTATATGTGCAACTCTTAAGAGTACCATAGTGCCTGACTCTCCTTTATTTGCATGTAAGAACTAACGAATTGTCATTAATAAAGCTAAAATAAAGCATATCGAAAATGTGTACAAGGTTGTGCTCCGGATTATTATGTGATGGTCCTGATGACCGAACAAATCTCAATTTCTTTTAATGTAATATCAACAATATCGACAATTATAATGATCTATATTGCACTGCACCTTTAGTTACTATTATTTATATCTTTATTTGCGCATAATATTAAAGAAAGAAAAATATATTTATTTATTTGATCTACTAATTCTTCAAATTCTTTAACTTTAAATCAAACTTGCCTAATAATTACACAACAAAACATAAATTTTTTTTTTTTTTTTTGATGATCATGTCACAACTTTATTTTATACTATAGAATTTACATTTATAATGAATATGGAATCTATTTATAGCTATGCTATTTTAAACTAAAGTGTGGCTCACCCAGTTGCCAATTGGTACCTATATGCGACCTGCCAAAGTAGAATTGACCTTGCTGCTTCTTCGTTATCTACCTCAAATAAGGAATCCACAGTTCATCAGCCTGGATCTACAGCCTGTCATAATCTATTTTAATTTTTATTTCAACTGGACCATTTTCCGGTCCAAATCCATTTATTCACTTCATCTGTTACTGCATTAATTCTTTTTTTAAAGACCTCCTACCAGTTTTTTCTCTTTTTATCCCCATTGGGCCTTCTCTCTGTTGCATTCGAAATATCTTTGGGTCTAGCTGCATTTTTCTTTCTTGTACTTCTATCTTTCTGGAGTCTTTTCTCTTTTTTTTTTTTGGATTTAATTTGCAGCTCTTTTTCCTATTTTATGACTTCTTTACAACATTGAAGCCAGATTTTTTTCTGGAAAAAGCTATGCCATTTGTTCCACCATTCAAGTATTATTAGTTCTATTTCTTTTCTGGTGATCCCTGTTGACTTAAGAGAGGCTGTCAGATCTATTTTGATTAGTCCTTTTGCTAGGTAGTTTTTTTTTTGTGTTTGTCTCTAACACTTCCACCAGCAAATGCTAAGTAAATATTGTTTTGCGAAATTTTTTTTTGAGCGGAGGTGTTTAGGTTCCACCAGATTTCTTTTGCAATTGAGTACTCCTTTTTTGACTAGTGGGATTCATCAACTTCACATGATGTTAAATGTTCGAAATTTTCTTCTTTTTTCTTGCATTTCCTGCAGATTGCTGTTGTGTATAGGTCTCAATAGTTTCTCTTTTGTAACTGCAGTGTTGGTAAAAGGCCACTCAAGCTTTTGAGTCTAAAACTCCATTTCTTGTTTAACTTTAAAGATCTTAATTTTCCATACTCTACAGGTTTCTGAAGATTTTCCAGTTCTGCTTTTCAACCCTTCTTTGGTGTATATTGTCTTTCTGGCTTGGAGTAAATAACTAGTCAACTTTGTAGAAAGTTTATATAAACATTTTGATAAAGCTTTGGATTGGAGTATCAATTAGATGCTTGTTCTAGGTTGGCCTAAGCATTATTCTTTGTGTTTTATTTATAGTATTGGAAGTTAATTCGCTTTCTTGAGTGCCTTTTTTTGCTGCTTTATCTGCTAGATTATTTAACCAGTTGCCAGCATGTGTCTTTACTTTGTAAAGTTGAATATTTATTCTTTTGGTGTCTAGGATTTTGACAATTGTATCAAGAATACAAGAATTTTTCATTTTGCACCAGTTTCTAGTACTTTTGGCTTTCTGGCTTTATTTAATTGCTTGTATTGCTGTCTGGCTATCCATAAAAATATTTATCTTACTATTGTTCAAGAATATCAGAGTTGCTATAAGAATTGCTATAAGTTGAGGAAAACCACCCTTGAATTCTACCTTTAAGTTCTTTAACTATTGCCCCTTTACTATCTAGTTGAATAATTTCATACCCTGCTATGTGATCTACTAACCCTCCCTCTACAAGTAAGCCATCTGTATAATATATTATTTCCTTATATACTATATTTTCTTTCGATACCTGAGTAAGCTTCTGTTGTTTGCTTGTGTTTTCTATCATATTTTTGATCAGATATGTTTCTCAGCTTTCAGATAGAATTATGTAAGCTATTTCTGTTTTCTCCCTTTCTTCCATGTTCTCTTTCACTGGTAATATTAGATTTTTGAGATGTTTAAGGCTAATTAATGAGGCCCAGCCTCCCTCGCTTCTTCTTTTATCCAAGGGCTTATATTTTTTATTTTGCTCTCTTCTATTTTTAAGGGTTTATTTGTAGAAGTTAAACATGATATGAGAGAGTTATTAGGTAGTTCATTCTCTTTATTTTCCTTTTCCTATTCTATTATGTGTAACTTTTGGTTCAGTGATTTCTTTTGTATTTTGCCTAAGAATGGCATTTTGTTGTGTTTTCTTGATCCAATTACCCATTCTTTTTTTGATTTTTTAACAAACATGAATTTATATGATAAAAAAAAAGTTGTATCCTATGAGAATTATTCATTTGCTAAAATTTTTTTAAATAACTTATTTGTATTTTTGTAAAAAAAATTTTTTTAGTTCTCTAAATTCGTTAACATTACTTTTATTATTACAAATAAATTATAGCCAACTCTTTCAATAACAAACTGATGTACAGAAAAAAAACAAGTTCATTGTAGAGAAATTTATTATATTGTATAGAGTCTGCTATATATAAAAAAATAAAATTATAAAGTTTTTAGTTTTTTTAAATTTTTTTTTTCATTAAATAAAATGCACAAATTTATTAAATAATTTTTTTTTTGTCAAAAAATTTTCAGTATTTTCAAATTACAAACAATATATGTACATACGTACTGTCACAGGCAGTATGGATCATGACCACCCAAAATGTGACCCAAATGTCGATCAGGACCTGGATCAATGCATGATCATTGATCATGCATACAATGATGATATCACAGATTTTGGCATTCATAATCAATCTAAAATTGGATGAAACCCACATATTTGGGTCTCATACAATCATATGAGCGTACTATTAAATTAGGAAAAAATAATGAAGTTTCAATATGGCTGATCTGGGCGAGTTGGTGTTAAAGAAAGAAAAGTTAGATTAGTTAAAGTAGGATAAGTAAAAATAGAAAATAAAGAAACGATTTATCCAAATCCAGTAAAACAGCAAAATAGTATGGTGGAGTCAATGAAAATGGCAGAAAAAGGGATTTAAGGGAAAAAGGGAAGGAATAAAATTAGTAATAGAAAAACAAAATGTATAAAAGAGAAGAGGAATTTAATAAAATACTTATTTTTTTCTTGCGTCTGAAAAAATAGTAGTAGGAGCAAAAGATAAAGTGTTAGTAAACTTTTTTTAATAAATAAAAACTATACCCCAAAACTCTTAAATAAAAATATGAAATAGTTGGATACTCGCCAAATTGTAACCATGCCTCTGAAAAAGCCTAAAAAGTCAATGAAATGCGAGAGTTCTGGTCTCCTAATGATAGACTCGCCATTTCCTGTGATCAACAGTACATAAGTCTATTAATAACTGATAATTAATTGAGAAATTTTGAATTCTGGAGTAGTCATCCAAACCAACATCTGGAGTGTAGCTTTGTACACATTTTCAGTATGCTAAAATAAATAATTGTCCAGAAACTTAGATTCAAAGTTCAAGATACAAGGCAGTCCTTATATATTTTTTTAGACTTGCAAACACATTAAGACAACACGTCTTTGCGATGTAGTACATGATGTAATAGTTGTTTCACGAGTATTCTAATTACAGGATTGTTAAATGATATAGTCTGTAGTCTGATTCCAATTTATCAAAAAACATCGAGTTGTAAACGTTTAATTTTTCTTTGATTTAACATAATACCATCTTATTTCATATTTTGCTTATTTAGAGGTAGTCTCTTATTAGACATTATTAGGTTCACTGATGATTATGTCAGGTGAAGTTGGCTGTGAAGAACGAGCTACGGATGTTCTATAGAATAGGTGGGCAAACTCCACAAACTCCGTAACTCCGCTAAATATCTATTAATGATTACTAATCATTAGCAGAGTTTATTTTTATATTGCCCACCTATTCTATAGAACATCTTGAGCTACTATTGTCAACAATGATTAAAATATTTAGCAATTATTTTTTTTATCACTTTCAAATATTCGCCTTTCAGTAGTATCTACATCAGAGTTTTCATTTAACAAAACAATGTCAGCAATAATTATCCCACAATGATAATATATTATATAGGGGAGTTTTGTGGAAGATGATAGTGTTAATAAAGATTTAAATATCATAGTATATAGTTGAGATTACAAATTATTGAGTATAATGTGATGGATAGTAATAACAGACCACAACACAAACAATTGAATAATAATAAAATAGATAGCTGGCTAGTATATTCAGCATAAGAATATTTGACAAGCAAGAAAAAAGTTTATTCAGCCTATATTGTAAAAAAAATCAAAGAATTCTTGCTTCATTATTAATTAAAATTTTATATTCTCAGATATCGACTATATCTTAGCTATAGCAAATATTTCAATGTATATATATATATATTTAATCATGAAATCCTTAGAGTGTTCTTTAATAAATTAAAATGGCTAAAGGATCAAAGCAAATATTGGTATTTATCATATAAAATCAAAAAATAAATGCACTAAAATATGGTTTATAATAATATCTAATGTTGCATTTTTTAAATTCGATATTGTTATTCATGCATCTTAAATTATAAAAGTTGTAATATATATTATTAATCTATTTTCTAATTTGTTTTTTATTTAAAAATATACCTAAAACAAAATAATTAATTAGAGCTAGTTTTATATTAAAGCTAGAGTAAATTTATAGATAAAATATCTCTTTTTATATTTTTTATTAATAGATTTAAACACTTGTTTTCAATTTTTTTTTACTTTTAAAATTTTACAATTTGATTGGCTAATTAATGTAGATCTTTTGAGGCATGCCCAAAGGGCATGCCTCAATCTCAGGCATGCCCCTGTAGGCATGCCTAATTTTTTAACCGTGCCCCGAACCCTAGTGTGTAGCAGTTATCAAAATAAGCACGACAATAACAGAACACCAAATTAAACAAAGTTTAACAAAGTTTCAATAATAAAAATATCTAAATTCACATTTGCCTGTTTGCATACATACGGTTAATTGTTTGCTGTTAATGTATTCACGTTAAAAATTATTTGACATTTATATGAAATTTAATTCATGGTCATGATTTCATTACTAAATGTTCTTTAAGGAAATTGTTAAGAGTAATGCTCATAACTAGAAAATGTTATATATATCCCGCGCGCGTGATTCGTGGGACAAATTGTTACACAAGAGTGTAATGTCGAATTATAACATGGGTGTCTATTAATTATTAATAAACTTATAATACTAAGTATATACATAAAATGTTACAAGTAACATGTTACAATTAGACATGATATTATTTTGTTTAACAATTTGTCGCCTCAGATAGAAAAAGTTTAGTGATGACGGATTAACGATTTATCCAACAGAAAATTATAACCTACTGTATATTCGATTTTAGCATTTTATAATTTCCACGTCTAATTTGATAGTATAAGTTTTAACAGAATTCTAATTTAACTCGGTTAATTAGATGTTTCGAATTCCGCTTAATAAGTGGAATTAAAATTAACCGAAACTATTCAGTACCAAATCAAATTATTTTTATATAAATTTAAATAAAATCAGAATTCTTTGGCAAACTTATCCACTAAATGGCTGAATCTCAAGGATATTCACTTCTATCTCACAATGCATTTGAATTTATTCATTAAATTTCTTGATAGTAAACCTGCAATTGAATAACACAAGATTATAATTTCCGTATTCAAGATTCATTAATTACAACTATTAGAACTTGAAAGGTCGGTAGCTTTTATTTTACAAAATTTTGAAACATCAGCATATTATTTTAACTTATTAAAATTGATTTACATACTCTGTACTTTTCAACATGATGTTTTTAAACCATGTTGTTTCTTCAAACTATGCAATGTGATATATAAGCAATATTACCTATTTTTTGTAATTAGCGTTAGCACAGTCTTCAGATCTATTAAAAATAGCAAATTTACAAACTTTGAAAATAACATTTAGATGAATAAAAAAAATAAAAACTGGAAATATTAATTCTTATAAATCTCGTATTATTCAATTTATTAATAACTGATAATAGAGGATCGAATTGTATATATATACTAATATTTAATATTACAGTATGTATAATTATTATTCCCTATACAACCTACTTATTACTATTTCTTTTAGGTGATCGGGTATAAGCATTAACTTTACATTAAAGGAAACTCGTAAGAAAAGGGTTCATTTTTAAAATAAATAAATCAGTGGTATACTGGATATCGAATATATATATGCAAAATTACTAGAAAGTAACTTAGATCGGTTGCTTACGCGATCGATCACGTCAGTTACACTTTCTCAGTAGATCCCTGTTTATATCCAATTACTCAGGATATAAATATTGCTTATGCGATTAATACTAGGAACTGGAAACCAGGTGCTTAAAGTTTGATATGACGATAACTTTAATGGATTCAATGTATAAATTTTCAGGGGCAGCTACGTTTAAAATCATAATTTCTTTCATCAAAGCGCATAGAAATATGAGCCCTTTGTTTTGCTCCGAACCATTATTAATTTGCGCAATATACAGTATATCGATATAATTTGCTTATTTATTAATTTGTAATATGTTTTTTGTGTTTTGTATAACCAGTATCGGTATATACTTTTGGAGGTTGCTGTACTGTACGTACGTATGTCATATGATGCGAACGTACAGTATATAAATATAGATTTAGGATACATTATTTGACCAGATGTACTACATTCAACATTTCATTCCTCTCACATAGCATATAATTTCTTGATCTAAAATGTCAAATACAAAAGGCGATAACCCATCAGATATAATTAATGATCAATTGAACTTTATCGAATGTCAAAAATTAGCAGATAATCCAGATGGAACATTCTGGCTTGGTTATTGTTACGAATATGGAATTGGTGTTGAAAAGGATGAGAACAAGGCATTTATTCATTATCAAAAATCAGCAGAGATGAATAATTCTAAAGGAATGTATCAAGTTGGCTATTGTTATTATTTAGGAATTGGTGTTGAAATGGATATGCATAAAGCGTTTATGCACTATTTAAAATCAGCTGAGGCTGGTAATTCTATGGGAATTTGGAAAACTGCTGCTTGTTACAATTACGGAATTGGTGTAGAAAAGAGTAAAGACAAGTCCGAATATTGGCGCAAAGAGTAAATTATTTGTTAATTTTTCGTTAATATATTTAAAAATAAAACTTAAAACTAATTGATTCTTTAGGGAGTAAGTATAATGAAATTATATGAAATATAAAATTCTATAATAATATGATTTAAAATATTTTATTCACGTTAACTTAGTTCGTAAGTGATATTTATTAATTTAAATATTTAAAATAAGCTCACATATATTCATATTTTCATTTATTCGCGTTAATTTAGTCAGTGAGAGTGTGAAGAACACTTATTAATCTAAATATTTAAATAAGCTTGTATATTTATTACTTACTTACGGTTTATTTGCATTAATTAGTCTGTGAGTATAAAAATCATTATTGGTTTAAGTATTTAAAATAAGCTAATCAAGTTCACAAATTTACTTATTTATTCGTGCTAATTTAGAAGGTGAGTATAAAGAACACTGATTACTCTAATTATTTAAAATATATAATTTTTTATTTGCATTAATTTAGTCGGTGGGTATAATGACATTTATTAATATAGTATTAAATAAGCTATTCAAGCTCATAAATATTTTTTATTTAAATTCATTTTATTTGCGGTAACTTAGTACGTGAGTATAAAGAAACTTTATTTGACAAATTAAAATGAAATCAGATTAAAATGAAATATTAACTATAATATGAAAATTACATGTTGCAAATTTTTTGTTTCATTTTTTTTTTTTTAGCATTTGTTTTAGTCTTGGTAATGATTAAAGTTATATTTATAATAAAAAAGTATATGAGGGTTTTAGAGTTGAATAGAAGCCCAATTTTTTTTAATCTGATTTTCATGTGATATTTATTAATCTAAGTGTTTTAGCTATTCACTATTTAATTTCATTATAGACAGTGAGTATATTAATTTAAATATTTAAAATAAGCTATTTACGAATATTTACTATTTAATTTATTTTATTCATGCTAATTTAGTTTGTGAGTAGGAAGAACATTTATTAACCTGAGTATTTAGAATAAGCTATTCAAGTCCATGAATATTTACTATTTAATTTATTCGTGCTAATTTAGTTCGTGAGTAGAAAGAACATTTATTAACCTAAGTATTTTAAATAAGCTATTCATGTTTATAAATATTGCTATTATGATTTCATTTTATTCTCGTTAATTTAGACCGTGAGTATAAGAATATTTATTAATCTAAGTATTTTATTTATGTTTATGAATATTTACTATTTTATTCACGTTAATTAGTCGGTAAGATAAAAATAATTTTATTTAAAGTGCATGAATGATTTGAAATGGCTTCTAAAAATGCAATGCAATTGATACTGTAATTTAAAAGAGATTCAGATTATGGAAAATGTGCTCATTGCAATGAATATAACATGAAAAATGCATGGTGTCAGGCATGTGATCCTGACATAACAATTCAAGGATGGACAAGTAGAAATAAGAAGATTGATGATTATATGAAAGGGTTTCAACTTAGAATTTGGAATTATGAAGGTATGATTGAATGGATTCCATTTAACAAACTAGATGATATTAAAAAAATTGGCCAAGGAGGATTTAGTTCTGTATTTTCTGCGACCTGGTTGGATGGGTATACGGAAAAGAAAAGACAATATGAGAACACGTGAACCATTTAGCACAGTTGCACTCAAAACCTTGTCTGATTCTAAGAAAAATTCTCTCGATTTTTTGAAAGAAGTAAGTTAATCATTATTCATCGTATAGTTTATTGAACACACACAATATTAAACTAATTTATTTATAAATTTATAAAGTTTGAAAATCATGTGAAATGTGATAATTTATGGGGAGGTGTGCTCCAAATATATGGATTAACTCAAAACACAGAAACGAATGAATACTTGATGGTATTTCAATATGCAGATGGTGGAAGTCTTTATAAGTTTTTAAGGTCAAAATTTCAAGATCTTACCTGGCTGACTAAATTAATGATATTTCATGGGATTTAAATCGAATTCACAGTGCAGGATATATTCATTCAGACTTTCACAGTGGTAATATTTTGCAAGATAAAGGCATTAGTGAGAATATACAATCTTATATCTCAGATCTAGGATTGTCTAAAGAGAAAGATAAAAATGATTCAGAAAGTTGTATTTATGGAGTCATGCCTTATGTCGCACCAGAGGTTTTATCAGGTCAAAAGTTTACACCAGCTGCAGATATTTATGGATTTGGAGTCATCATGTCAGAGATGTCAACTGGACAAAGACCTTTTGATGGTTGTAAATTTGATGATGAACTTGCTGTAAAGATTTGCTTTGGATTACGGCCTGAATTTGCTCCTGGTACTCCTGATTGTTATATTGAATTAGCTAATCAATGTATGGATTCTGATCCGCAAAAACGGCCTACTGCTAAGGATGTTGATAGTAAACTTTTTGGTTGGAATAGAAGCATGAAAAGTTCAGATGATGTAGATGAAATTAAAAAGCATTTCTTAGATGCCGATAAAATAGTCAAAGAATTTCCAGTTATCTTGCCAAAACATTCTGATTTTATGTACACTAGCAAAATTATCAACACCCAAAGAATATCAACAATCCAAGGTATTTTATTTTAAAAATTACACGATATCAACTATTCATTTAAAACTAACTATGCTTATTATATTAGCATCTTTACGAAGTAAACCTATCGATTCCGTTGAAATTCCTCTTGATTAAACTTAAAGTTTATAATTAAACAAATTTATTTTATATTAGTATTCAGATGATTGATTTGGTCGCTTTAAAAAAGATATATATAAATTCTGAGATTTAATTTATTACGCGTAGGGTATTATACCCTATATTAAACTTAAAGTTATTTTAAAAACGAAAGTGTGTGTTTATATGTAAAATTAATGCCCAACATTTTTATTTAGTACCACTAAATTATTTTCATAGTAAAATTTTATTTTTTCATATACGGTAACTTACTCACCGAATTCAAACAGATATCCTTACGTATAAACTTATTATTCATAGTTATATATTTATAATTGATTAAATTCAATAATTTTCTAAATGTTTATTAGGAAACCCATTTATTTTAAAATTTAAAAACTAAACTATATTATTTATTTTAAACACTGTCGGAGGTTTTGACTTATTTTAATATGAAATTTTAAATTTTTCAAAAAGGTTCATTATTATTAACTACAAGATTGAATATAATTTAACTCAAAATTCGTCTCAAATAACTAGAATGCACATTGAAGACAAACTAATATATTCTGTTATATTACAATTGGGAAAGTCAAATTATAGCTATCCAAATGTAACTTGCTTTTCTATTTAGACATTATCATAAAAAACATTTTTATGCAATATATACAAGTTGCACAATTTATGTTTACGCTAATATCAGATATTCATGTAAATCAAGGACTGATTTAATCAAACAAATCAACAATTCCAACATCGTAAGGATCCTCAACTACGTCTAAAACGCCAATTACAGGCTTTGAATAAACACCAGAAACTGTCCTACGCGTTGAACTCACAGGTGCTGTATCAGGCATTTTGAACCATTCCTCTGTGGAAAGCTGTTATAAATAACAAATTAATGTTAACATCTTTCTGATTAAAAATATAAAAGGATGATAAAAATATATTAAAACATACTCCTGTTATTCCTTCAAGGAACTCTTTAACAATTTTTTTACGAAATTTACTTTCGGTTGCTTGACTTAAAGACGTTTCAAATTTCTATAAAATATGGCATTATAAATAAAATTGACAAGTGGATACTCTAAACTTTTGTAACATCTTAAGCGTTACCTGCAACTGAACATGATCCATATTCGGCAATTGTGCAAAGGTTTCGTAAGGAGCAGATGATAAGGGCCTCAAATCTGTGTAAAGATCCGTAATGAAAGAAATTATTACAGGATGGGATTCTTTATGATATCCATCATGTAAGGCCTATAAAAGTACGATAGAAAAAATAATAGATTTCGACCAATAAATTCCATATTTCTCAATATACAGATAACCTCTCTGAATGAACCAAAGGATCAATCCTGTTTTCTAATATTGCTTATAAAATTATTCCACAAATGTATACCACACTGAACATATGTTTATTCCAATCCAAAAATGGTCATTTAGGGAGGTTATCGGTATTTAATATATATTACCTGTAATGCAGCAGTTAATAAAGAAGTTCCAACAAATTCTCTTAATCCTTCATGCTTTATCAGGTTCGGTAATATTCTAGCGCATAATTGTGCTGTTCGTGTACAAGATACTGTATCTTTAAAAGTCAAGAGATGACATAAGCTCACCAAAAAAGGTTCGGTAATTGGCTATACGAAATATTAAATAATCAACAAATCATTTGGAATGAATGAAACAACATCAGTCTAAAATGAATAAAAAATTTTCATGCCATATAATTTAGCGTATATTCTTTCAACGCAGTGTTCTCTAATATAGGAGGCGCATTATCACCTATTAATAAAACCAAATTTATATTTACTAGTGATCAGCAATATTATAAAGCAGTATATAAACTCATTGAATAATACCAGTTGCTTGTTTCTTAGGTACAGGTGAGAATATTTGATCAAATATATCAACATAAGCCCTTGTCAAATCCCTTAATACTTGTTCATTCAATATCTCATCTGATATATCACTATTAGTATCCAAATTATCCTGTAATAATTGAGCCCTACATCAAATAATAATATAATAACGTTAATAATCTTGAATGTCAAATTGCAGACATTACGAAACATACATTTCTGGTGTTGAGATTTGAATCCCTTTTTCAACCATAATTCGCCATTCCAAGGTCAACTTTTTATCCAGATATTTTAATAATTGTGGAAAAAACCCTGAAAGGACTTCAGGTGCTGGGCATTTAAGAACGTAAGGTCTGACAACTAAAGGTAAAAATCGAATATCAGCAGTTAAGAATATAAATAAATTATATATGCGTAGAATAAATTTATTTATGAATATATAATATGTAAAGGATATTAAGTAACATTTTCCAGTGAATGTTATCAATGCTTTCAGCATTTTCAAACAATGATTGAATAATAGATTCATGTGCATTTGGAATGGAGTAAAATGCCAGATCAAATGTAGATAGGCGACCAAGAATAAGATAACTGTTTAAGAATAATCATGGAGACGCAAATAAGTTTTCATAAAATATATATTAAATATGAACAATCATACAATGATAATACCTGTCAATCCTTATAGTAGACAACCACTTATGTATTTGATCAAACATACTAGCTATGGTATAAGATTTTCTGTTAGAAATTGTTGTTGGAATATTTAATGTTTGTCCTATATATGCAAAGATAAAGTTAAAAATTAATTATAACTGTTAAATTAAAAACATTTTTTGGATCAATATATGGTACTAAGCATAATATCTACCCACAATGCTTGCTTTGTCTTCTTTGCTCAATCTCAACACCTCTTTGAATTCTTCTGGATACTCTTGCCATGATTCAACGTTCCATAGCTGGTGGATAATTCTATATATGAAATAAAAAAATTTTTAGTTAAGAAATTTGTACATTAGTACTCTGTTAATATCATATCAAATACCGTATCAGAGCCAATGTTGCAGACAATATCGTGGGTATATATTGCTCCCACAATCCTGAATATTCAGAATTAGAAATTCCCTATTAAAAGTTGACATGTAATGAATATTACAATAATTGATACTTTATTACCAAATTAAATACAACATTTAAATATTTATACCTTTGATGCACCTTCAGATGCTTTTACAAAGAATGTTATTACTGTTTCTGTCAAAAATGACAACTTCAAAAGGTTGAAAACAGTGAATAATTGAGTACGCATTATATATAGCAATTTTGTATTCGATTGATAATACACACATTGTATCGTGCTAATTCATATTTCGCGATAGTTTCATGAAATTCTTTCGAAATTTCCGAACTTAGTTTGTAAATGCCTTTTTGTTTCATATTGATTACTTGAAAAAAAAAAAGTTATTTTAAACATCCATTATAAAACGGAACATGAAAATTTTTGACAATAACCCAGATAAATTTATTACGTACTAATTGAAGACAAAAAATTTAAACCGGAAGCATCTCGAAATTGAGTTATTGAAGTAATAAAACAGGTTATATCTGGAGAAAGCCATTTGTTCATTACTGGTAACACGATTGGATCAAAGAGCGCTCTTTTTTGTTCTAATGGAATTTTAGAGTAATATCTGAAACAAATATAATACATTAAAATAAGAACATATTCATTATAAAGAATTATGCACTATACTTACATAATGCAAAGTAAAAATTTTTTAAATGACACCTTTTCTTTTCTCGTAACCATTTTACTTTCAGCATTAAAAATATTATTCACATAGCCCGAAATATCGTTGTATATATTCTAATAAGAAAATCCATAACTAAGAGATTTAAACTCTATATTTTATTAACAGTTAAATAGTGTTTTTAAACATATAACAAACCATTAAAACATCGGGCATTGACGTGCCAAATTTTATCAATACTGCAATAGCTCCACATCGTAATCGATAAACTGGTTGCGGAAAAGAGGAAGCAGATGAAATAATAAAACCAGGGGGACGGAATATAGCAAATTGGAATATCTATAGGCATAAATGATTAAAAATGAAATTTTTACTGTCTGAGACCTAAATATATAAATTAACATACCTTTTGTAAAACTTGAAATAATAGCCTCGAGTCCCTATTTAGCATATCTACAAACGATAGCATAGAAGCTAAATATCTATTTGACATTATTACATCCTAATTATAAAATTAAATAAAATTTATAAGAATGTATAAATAAAACTTCTTGTCAAAACATTAATAGATGCTCACCGGATAATTAAGATTCAATAGCATTTGAAGAAAGTCATTCATTCCATTCATTATTTTAGCATAATTTGTCTTTTGCAGGATTTGAATGTTTTTACATAAGTTGCTTTGAAAAAATTTTGTAAATTAAGCATATAATCAAGTGTTCCATACATCATGACCTTCATTGGATTTGATCAATTTTCCGATCCCGATTACTATAGAATCCATTAATGTTAATTCTGCATCAAATATGAAGTAAACTGAAGAGTCTACTTTACAGACACCATCGCCTAAAAAGAGAGATAAATGTATTACATCTTTTGCAGACGGACCGAAATAGATACATTGCATGATAACTTGCCATCTAAATCTTCTTCACTCGGACTTATATTCAACGTTTTTTGAATTCTGTTCACTATCCAATTGAAAGACTCTATCGGCCGCATCTGAGTAATTAACTTTATTGTTTCACCAAGTCTCGTACGAAACGTCATAGCAAAATTTTTATATTCATTTTTTGAATCAAAATCCACGTCAATGTAATGCGTAGTTTTATTATCATCATCATCTTTATGAAACAGCTTTAAAATAAATCAACGTCATCAGCTCTCAGAATCTAAATCAGATATCAGAGTTAATATAATAAAAGTATATTTTTGCTTACTATTCTAAGTCTCTCAGCAAATAGCTCTAAAAGCATTAATAATAACTGATCTTGTTCCTTAAATGTCTAATTAAAGGTTTGTTGGATTATGATCTAAAAGTGAACCAATAATTGCTGTAAAATAATAATTATAATTCACCTTTGAGATGAGTGGATGATGAATTGCTGACTGCCAAAACATTATTGCCACAGAGGCTATGAAATTTGATGGATGCTTTGAGATCTCGTATATCAATTCCAAATATCTAAAAAGATAATTTAAAATATTCTTAATCAGTTATGCCTAATAAAAAAAAAAAAAAGAATACATTAAAAAATCGGACGTCAAATAACTTTGGAAATTGCTTTGGTATCACTGTGTTATTCTTGAAACATATATGCTTTTCACCGAATTCAACAATAGCCTACCAACATAAACAAACGTACAATAATTATTTTCAGTTGATTGACACTTTTAGACAAAAGTTAGACATACCTCAACATATTTTTTCAAATAAGTATAATCATTTTCTTCAAGCAATAAATCTTGACTTGGTTGGATCATCTTAAAGGACAAAAATAATAACTCCATGCCATCTTGTTCACAAATAGGGTCAAAAACAAGTGTACGATCTTCCGGTGTTTGAAAGGTGCGGGAAACAATAGCAGTAATACATTCTATTGCAACCTGATAATAACATTAAAACATAATTTGACATAATACCATTTATTCAAATATATTTCTATAACAACCCACCATTCTTATTTCATGACAATCACTCAAAAGGCTTTTGCACGATACCAGTAGCGCATTTGTTTCTGCAATGGATCTATTTGAATTGATTCGCACCACAAAGTTTCAATGACTTTAACTTAATGATTGCTGAAACTATAAATAGATAGTATTACCTCGCAATAATCCATTCAGCATATGTTGCAATGGTGTTTAATGTAACAATTATTAATTTCTCGTAAATTACAGACGAAGCCGACTGTAATTTAACCTTAAAAAATAGGATCAAATTAAACATCTATAACCAACTATAATAATAATAATAATAATATATAATTATTACCTGACATTGCCATTCAACTACCAATTTTTCCAAGGATTTCACCCATAGCATTAACCAGCCTTCACTATCTTGCTCACCTTGCATTATTATTATTATTTCGTCTTTACATGAACTTGGATTATCTTTTTTCACTCCGTCTGGATATTTCTCCCTCAAAATATTGTAGCTTGTAATTATACACGTCAAAGAATCTCGTAAATCTGATTCTTTTCCAAGATATTGAAAGATCAAAAGAGTCAACTCTTGTGTAGTTGGCTATAACAGATCAAATAAACAATGTTAGCAATATTAAAGAATAAAAAATAGAAAAATAATAATCTTACACTAGAAGTATAAAGATTTCGTAAAAGGTTATTCATGTCTGTCCAACGTATCGGCCACTCACGTCTAGCTACGTCAGCAAACAATTTCGCCACTTTTTCTTTGATAAATTGCTTTTCAATTAAAATATCATGAGTTCCCTAATTCAAAGAAAATGAAACGTTTATAATTTAAAAATAATAATAATATATCAATGCGAATGAGCAATCTTAATTAGTGCAGACCCTTTGAACTAAACTGATTATTGCTTGTTTAATTTGTTCTCGCTCCGAATCACTATAAATCCCATCAATCCATTTATATCTTATTGTATTTTCTAAAAGTTGTAATCCGAAATGTCTAACAATATCAGATTGACCATTTTCTTTTAGAGCCAAAAAATGACCGAATATTGGCGCGTTGGGATGATCTTTGATGGAATTACAATACTGCGTGATTCATAATTAAACTTTATTTTTTAATGAATCGTTCACGGAACTGATTATGGATTTATGGATAAAATAGAATATACGAATAAATTAAATAAACCTGATTTGCTTCGAGCCTAATTTCATTTGATGCGAACGGACTATGAATTATATCTAAAGCCTGTATGATCCTTGAAAGAACTATTAAAAATATTCAAAAAATTCGATAATTTTAATTTAATTATTCTCGTACTACATATATGTCTAAAAATTTTATATTTATGGCAATCTTTTTTATCATTATTATATTATTAAGAAAAACACAATAATCTTCCGTAAAGCACAATACCTTCGGGTTCCATAATGTAAAGAAATCAGATCACCGATGAGTCCGCAATTATAAAGCCAAAAAGTTAGTCACGTGGCATCCATTTATACAACTACCCCTTATAATTTCCTTGGCAAGCTGCAAAATCGATATTCAAAACCAAAAACAAAATCATTTTCCCAACAAGTGATATAAACGGTTTAGTGGCTCGGTTACAGAGCATCGGTTTTCCTTAATGCTGCGGGCACGTGCTAATAAAGATCTATCGTATCGATACGAGCAGCATTTTTTGCAGCTTTTGTTATCTGTTATACTGTTATAATAGAGACGCACTTACGTTATAGCAATGCACTTACATACGGTGTTCGAAATTCAGTATTCTCAATGTTTTCCGAGAACACTAATTAAATTTTAAAAACTAATTTATTAAAATATATTCTCTGCGTTAAATAAGTTATAAATTTTTTATATTGGGGTTTCGGAACTAATGATTCGACGTTCGATTTAAGATAAAATAAGTGACGCATTTATTTCAAAAGAAGCGAAGTACAAATTCTATTTTTTTTGAAGTGCGTACTTATTTACATAGTCGTTTACCGGTGAATGTTTATCAAAAAAAAGCTAATTTTATCACTGGCTACACCTATTTAATTTTCTGATTCGGAATTCTAAAAAAGAAAATAGAATCTTTAAACTCTCACTTATTTTTGAAAAAAGTTAATTCTGAAACCCCCTATTATGAAAAACAAAAAATGGGCCAATACAATGAGTCGGCAAAATTTTGGATATTGGAATATGAACAATATAGAAAAAAGGTTATTAATGATTTTGGTAATTTGTTCACTAAATTTCTTGACCACAAATCTGCAATCGAATAACAAAAGAAATTATGATTTATTCAATACAACTATTAGAGCTGTGAAAAATAAATTTTGAAACATTAACGGACCATTTATTAAAGGTGTTTTAAAACAAGTTGTTTTTTCAAAACTATGTAATGCGATATACTGTATTTTTAAAATTCTAATTTAATTATTTAATTATAGATTCCTAAGCATATTTTATAATTAGCGTTAGCATAATCTTCATTTACAAACTTTAAAATAGCATTTTAGATGAAGATTTAAAAAAAAAAAACTGAAATATTAATTTTATAAATTCCATAATACTGTACCGTATTCATATGTATAATTATTATCCCCTGACCAACCTACTTATTTCTATTTATCATAGGTGATCAGGTATAAACATTAACCATTTTAATTTTTACATTAAAGGAAACTCGTAAGAAAAATGTTCATTTTTAAAATAAATACGCCGAAGTTATATGAATGGAGAGGATAAATTAGTGATATACTGGGTATATATTGAATATATGCAAAATTTACTAGAAAGTAACTTAGATCGGTTGCTTACGCGATACTTTCTCAGTAAATCACAGTTTATATCCAATTACTCCTGTACTCAGGATATACAGTATATATATCGATATTGATTTCGATAATTTATTTATTATATAATTTGTAATATGTTTTGTGCTTTGTATAACCAGTATATACTTTTGGAGGTTGCTGTACGTACGTATGTCATATGATACGAACGTATAGTATTTAAATATAGATTTAGGATACATTATTTGACCAGATGTACTACATTCAACATTTCATTCCTCTCATATAGCATATAATTTCTTGATCTAAAATGTCAACTACAAAAGGCGATAACCCATCAGATATAATTAATGATCAATTGAACTTTATCGAATGTCAAAAATTAGCTAACATGAATGACCCGGATGGAATATTCTGGCTTGGTTATTGTTACGAATATGGAATTGGAGTTGAAAAGGATGAGATCAATGCATTTATTCACTATCAAAAATCAGCAGAGATGAATAATCCTAAAGGAATATATCAAGTTGGTTATTGTTATTATTTAGGAATTGGTGTTGAAATGGATAAGCATAAAGCGTTTATGCATTGTTTAAGATCAGCTGAAGCTGGTAATTCTATGGGAATTAGGAAAACTGCCTGTTGTTACAAATACGGAATTGGTGTAGAAGAGAGTACAAATATTGGCTTGAAAAGTAAGTTATTTGTTAATTTTTCGTTAATAATTTGAAAATAAAAATTCTTAAAACCAATTGATTCTTTAGGGAGTAAGTATAATGAAAATTAGATTAAATATTAAGTTTCTAAAATAATATGAATTAAAATTATTTTATCCACGTTAACTTAGTTCGTAAGTAATATTCATTAATTTAAATATTTAAAATAAGCTCACGAATATTCATATTTTCATTTATTCGCGTTAATTCAGTCAGTGAGTATAAAGAACATATTAATCTAAGTAATTAAAATAAGCTATTCAAAGTTCATGATTATTTATTATTTATTTGCATCATTTTAGTCCGTGAGTATAAAGAACACTTATTTGACAAATTAAAATGAAATCAGATTAAAATGAAATATTAATTATAATATGAAATTACATGTTGCAAATTTTTTGGTTCATTTTTTTTTAGCATTTTGTTTTAGTCATGGTTATGATTAAAGTCATATTTATTAATAAAAAGTATATGTGGGTTTTAGAGTTAAATAGAAGCCCGGATTTTATTTTAGTCTGATTTCATGTTACTGCGATATTTATTAATTAATTCATGAATATTTATTATTTAATTTCATTATCTGTTATAGATTGTAAGTATATTAATTTAAATATTTAAAATAAGCTATTCATGAAATTTACTATTTAATGTATTTTATTCGTGCTAATTTAGTATGTGAGTAGAAAGAACATTTATTAATCTAAGTATTTTAAATAAGCTATTCAAGTTTATAAATATTGCTATTTTATTTCATTAATTCTCGTTAATTTAGCGGGTGAGTATAAGAATATTTATTAATCTAAGTATTTTATTCAGGATAATATTTAACATTTTATTCGCGTCAATTAGTCGGTAAGCATAAAAATAATTTTATTTAAATTGTCGCATGAATACTTTGAAATGACGTTAATGTAATTGATGATTTAAAGATCCTCTCCCGATGGAAAATGTGCACATTGCAATGAACATAACACGCAGCCTGCATGGTGTCAGGCATGTGATCCTGACATAACAATTCAAGGTTGGACGAGTAGAAATAAGAGGATTGATGATTATATGAAAGGGTTTCAACTTAGAATTTGGAAATATGTAGGTATGATTGAATGGATTCCATTTAACAGACTAGATGATATTAAAAAAATTGGCCAAGGAGGATTTAGTTCTGTATTTTCTGCGACCTGGTTGGATGGTATACGAAAAATCGAAGGCAATGACTATTCATATGTGAGAACACGTCAACCATTTAGCACAGTTGCACTCAAAACCTTGTCTGATTCTAAGAAAAATTATCCCAGTTTTTTGAAAGAAGTAAGTTAATCATTATTCATCGTATAGTTTATTGAACACATATTAAACTAATTTATTTACATAAATTTACAAAGTTTGAAAGTCATATAAAGTGTAATAAATTATATAGTAGTAAACTCCAAATATATGGATTAACCCAAAACACAGAAACGAATGAATACTTGATGGTATTTTAATATGCTGATAGTGGAAGTCTTTATAATTTCTTAAGATCAAATTTTCAAGAATTTACCTGGCAGACTAAATTAAAATTACTTCGAGATATTTCAAATGATTTACGGCGAATTCATAATGCAGGGTATATTCATTCAGACTTTCACAGTGGTAATATTTTGCAAGATAAAGGCATTAGTGAGAGTATACAATCTTAGATTTCAGATCTAGGATTGTCTAAAAATATATATGAAAATGAATCAGAAAGTTGTATTTATGGAGTCATGCCTTATGTCGTACCAGAGGTTTTATCAGGTCAAAAGTTTACACCAGCTGCGGATATTTATGGATTTGGAGTCATCATGTCAGAGATGTCAACTGGGCAAAGACCTTTTGATGGTTGTAAATTTGATGATGAACTTGCAGTAAAGATTTGCTTTGGATTACGGCCTGAATTTGTTCCTGGTACTCCTGATTGTTATATTGAATTAGCTAAGAAATGTATGGATTCTGATCCACAAAAAAGGCCTACTGCTTGGGATGTTGATGATAAACTCGAGAAATGGAATAAAATCATGGAACGTTCAGGTGACACAGATGAAATTAAAAAGCAATTTTTAGATGCCGATAAAATAGTCAAAGAGTTGCCAGTTATCTCGCCAAAGCATTCTGATTTTATGTACACCAGCAAAATTATCAACACTCAAAGAATATCAGCAACTCAAGGTATTTATTTTAAAAATTCACGATATCAACTATTCATTTAAAACTAATTATGCTTATATTAGCAACTGTACGAAGTAAACCTATCGATTCCGTTGAAATTCCTGGTGAGTACTATATTAAACTTACAGTATTTATAATTAAACGAATTTATTACTTATTTTATATCGATATATATTTAGATAATTGATTTAATCACGTTAAAGTTATAAAATTTATTACCTTGTTATTTATAATTGATTTAATTTTAATAATTCCCTAAATTCTTATTGGAAAATATGAGATTTACTGGTATTTCTTTTAGAAATTAACTTACATTATGTTTTATTTTTTTTCAATATTAAATATTATATTTTTGTATATTTCTGATAAATTTGAAAGTATATATGTAAATATAAATTTTCATATAGGCTGGTTGGTTTGAAAAGTTGCTAGTATTATATCTATTAAAAATTAACGTATTATTGCTATTGGATGTAATTTTTGGACGTTTCAAAAATTATGTAACATATATAAAACAGTAAAATCTGTTTTTTTTTTCATTTTAACTAAAATCAGTGCGTAATTATTATCCACAATGATAACATATTTGTTATTGCACAAATACTAAGGTTGGTCCGATTTATAGTTAGCGTTGGCAGAAATTAGGATAAAAAAAAAAATTTAAAATCCATAAGGAAGAGTCGGATATTCTGATGCGGGTAGATAATTTGGCACACTTAGGTTTTCAGCTATATTCCGTT